GGCTGTCTCAGGACAGTTGAAAAGCTGAGTGTGAGAAAAGGATTTCTCACCACGAGGCTCAGAAAATTGCACAGAGGAGGTGACACTTACATTCTGGGCATTTGGGGATGGAAAGAAAGTGATGGACTTGGGGGACCACTGGAAGTTGCTCACGAACAGGATGCTCGGTGAGAAAGCTAATTTCTTGCGTTTCATGTGAACTTCATGTAGGTGTTAATTGTATGTCTTTCTACTTTCCTGAGAATTTGAAAATACTTCATTTTTCTCTCTAGGTTAAATTTGGGATAAGAATTATCTCTGTAGATTTCCTAGTCTGAGGAGATTCATCCGGATAGAGGGAAGAAATGCATGACAGCAATCTCTTTTCTGTACAATTCAAGAAACCCCAGGGAACAAAAGCTGCTTTTCCCCCAATTCCATTCTGATCTCATTTCACAATGCCTATCATTCTTAATATTCTTAACCATTATTAATCTTAACGATTACACCTGGATTTCTTTTTTTTTTAAAAAATGTGTTTTCAGTTGTAGATAGACACAATACCTTTATTTTATTTATTTGTATTTATGTGGTGCTGAGGATGGAATCCAGTGCCTCACACGTGCTAGGCAAACCGCTCCACCCACTGAGCTACAACCCCAGCCCCTAGCCCTGGATTTCAATCGTTCTTACTATTGTTTGCTCATCGGGTGACCAGGCACTGCAGGCACACACAATCTTGTGGCACTGTCTCTTACCTATGATCTCCAGCCTTCTTCTTTTCAAGAGCTCCGACATCTTAACTAAAGTTCACATGAAACTTGGGAAGCCTTTGGTTTCAGAACGTTCTGTTCAACACCCTTCCGGAAGCCACTAATTTCAGGGGCTTCTTTTTTTGCATCCATGTGACAAAGGGCAGGCTCAGGGAAGAGTATGGGTTCTTCAACACTGGTACCCAGTGCGCTGTCATATTTACCAATTTCTTAATCCCAGGACAAATGTGAGAATTGTCAGAGGGATTTTGGTGGATGTGGTGTGCGAGAATTCCGGTGATGGCGAGGTAGTTTCAGTGGGAGTAATTAAGAAGTTACTTAGGCACATTCATTTAGGGACACACACTCTGTATACTTTTGTAGAGGCAGCCTAAAGAGAGAATCCCCTCAGGCTCTGGCTTCAACAGGGGGAGAGGTCACCTGAAAATATGTCAACGTGTATTTCTTACAAAACCCACATTGCAGTGTTCTTGATCATCTGAGAGGCTCCTTGCCCTTGAATCCATGAAATCCACATAGACTTATAACTGGGAGGGCATTGGTTCGTGTTCTGTTTCGGGATCTGAAAATTCATACAAAGAATACTGGATTTTCAGGGGCAGGAAGATTGGGGGAAGTCCCACCCCACCCCATATCCCAGCACTTGGTTTACAAGGATTCCCCGCTCTGGGGAAGAGGATGAAGCAGGCCCAGGAAAGAGCACTATTGCTAGCTGTTTACATTAAGAAAAACTGAGCAAAATGAAATAAGACACCAAGATGTCCACACGGTGAGAAATGTCGAAATAGAGAAAATTGATAAACTAGCTGTGTTGTTTGACCATATCTACTCTCCACAATTGTAAGGCCTTCAAAACTCA